ATTTACGTGGAGATTAGCATGCTGAAGGCTTCTTGCTTCAGAGACACCACAATGCTGCTAGTAAGGTGGGCTGGGCCAGAGGCAGGAAGGCAGAACCTGGGGAGGGGATGCAGGAATGATCTTGGTGTGTAAGGGATGGGGCCATGCCATATGCCGAAAAAAAAGTATGGAAAGGTCCTGGGGACATATTAGATTTGAAGAGAGATGATACCTACCCATGCGGAACATTTTGCTTTTTATTTCATTACTGAATGCCCCTCTTTGTTCTTGTCCAGATTGGGGATTTGCAGTAGAACAGAGCACATCAGGAAAGGCTGAGCGTTGGTGTTCAGAGTCTACAAGCGCTCAATGATCTGTGTTCTAAGATCATGGTGGCTTGCATGGCGTCATTGAAAGTCATTGTGAGCCTTATCTGCTCAGGCACAGCGGGTGGCAGTAGGGAATTTAGCGACAGATGAGGACAAAAACTTCCTGGGGCTGAATAGCGGTGAGTTTCTAATCATATTTTTGCTTTCATCTGGGGCCTGAATAGCTTTTCTGCCTGATAGTGATGAGCCCTATTCCTCAGTTGCCCTTTGCTTTTGCTAGCAATACCAATTTTAGATGTCGTACTTTTGTTTTATGAGGGTATTTCCCAAGGCTGTTTTAGGAGTGGACAAGGCTCTGCTTGTCATAAGTGCAACCTGACAGTGGTGTTTTGAGTCAGCCTCTTCCTTTTCCTGTACCCTTGGCTGTTTCTCACCCTGGAGCGTCTTGGGCTTGGCTGGATTGAGGGGGCTGGTGGAAGACGTATTTGCCTTGCAGGTATAATTCCTCAGAGAATAAACCGTCTTTGAAACCACACACACATATATTTTACACATGTGGGCAACTGAAAGAAAATTAGGTTCTCATTGTTACATTTTAACATTGAGCAGTGATGGTAAGGAGAGTGATCCTGATGAGAAGATATTTGTATTGTGGATATCTGTGGTTATGATTTAGCCTGTGGTATGTATGCTTTGCCAGTGTTTTCTCTTTTTGTGAGAAAACGTCACATCCATCTCAGGGAAGAAGTAGACCCATAACTCTTTGTGCCACATTTTATCCCCTACATGGTACCTACCATTATTATTAGTCTGAACACCTTACTCTTTCATGTGGAAAAGTGATGTGAAAAAGCAGAAAGATCTGGGATTAGAAAGCATGGACTTGGATCCTACTGCTCCTGCCTAACAGTATGGTAACCTTTCATCTCCCGCAGTTTCCTCATATTCAAAGCAGAAATTGGAGTATGAACCATAATGCTACCGTCTATCACAGATTTACATTACCACAGGTCGGGTACAGCTGCTAAGTAATTTACCTAAGTTTTCTCATTTAATCTTCCCGCATCTAGTGAGATCCTTTGCCTCTGGACTGGGAAGAGTTTTCCAAGCACAAAAGCCACTGACAGCATGACAGAGGAAGCAAGCTATTGACTTAACTACATAACATTTACGGTTGAAACTCAAAAGGACAAATACTCTACTATAAAATGTTTAAAATTCTCAGACCTTAGTAGAAAAATAAGCAAAGCTAGGAATAAGTAATTCAGAGAAAAGAAAGTACAGTCACTAAAACATTTAAATATTTACTCTAACTAGTAATCAAAGAAATTAAAATTTAGAAACATTACTTTTTGCCTATCAAATTTTTTAAAACCTTTTTTTTTAAGTGAAAATTTCAGTGTTAGCCAGGATGTAGTGAAAGCTGCACCCTCTTACATTGCTGGCGGGCGTGTGGATTGGAACAGCTTTTTTTGAGAGCAATGTGACAAAATGTGTCAAGAGCCTCAACAAATGTTCACACTCAGCTGATCTGCTAATTCCACTTCCAGGAACTAATCCTGAGGAAATAATCAGACATGTGGGCAGGCATTTATGTAAAGAGGCTAATTTCTGGCCGGGCACGGTGGCTTACGCTTGTAATCCCAGCACTTTGGGAGGCTGAGGCAGGCGGATCATCAGGTCAAGAGACTGAGACCATCCTGGCCGACATGGTGAAACCCCGTCTCTACTAAAAATACAAAAATTAGCTGAGCATAGTGACGCGAGCCTGTAGTCCCAGCTGCTTGGGAGGCTAAGGCAGGAGAATTGGGAGGTGAAGGTTGCAGTGAGCCAAAATGGCGCCACTGCACTCCAGCCTGGCGACAGAGCGAGACTGCATCTCACCAAAAAAAAAAAAAAGAGGCTAACTTCCATGTTATTTTTAATTTAACACAACCCAAATGGCTAACCATAGAGGGTAACTCCATAGGATAGAATGATATGCAGCCATTAAAGATTGTATTTTTATTCCTTTCTGGCTTTTCTGGAGGAAAAATTTTTTAAAGATTTTAAAATTATGTTTTTAAAGAATTTGAAGTGATACAAGGGCAATTCTGAAAATATAATAAACAATATGATCTCAACTTTATAAAAAGGAAAATAATACACACATATGATAAAAACTAGGAGGAAATATACTAAAATGTTAGCAATCATCTCTCTCTAAGTGGTGGGATTATGGGTGATGTTTATATTCTTTATGCTTTTCTTGATTTGTTCAGTGGTATCCAGAGACAGAAAGAGAAGGAGAGAGGGGGAAAGAGTGTATTATACAACAGTCCTCTTTAAACTGTTAATGAAGTATTCAGGTGTAAAGAACTGCAATTAATGTAAATGGAAATATTTGTAAGGCCTCTCCCAATATCTGTAGCTCTAGTTTATCAAGAAAGATAGACATGGAATCAAGGGTATCTTCACACCTTCATACCCTGGGATAAGTGTTTTCTTTAAAGCCTGTTTTAGACCCTAGGCTAATGTCGGGCCAGCGTGTGTTCAACATTAATCCTTAACATTCATGTTGCTATCTACTGATTTTATATTTGGATATTCAGCTATACTCAACAGTCTTCTGCCTGTTGAAGACTTTGGTGAGAATCTCTTTTGTCTGTGATACGGATTGAGAAATAGGTTCACTGACTGTACAAAATCTGCCTGGCAGATACGGGGATTTGAAATGAACTTGTTTTAAATAAAGGTGTCAAGTGATGTGATTCTGTTTTGGCTGGACCATCCCAAGTGCCAGCCTTGCATATTCGGAAAGGTGGTTTGCCCTAATTAAGGTTCCAAGCAGTACAGTTGCAAGTGGTTTCTGAAATAAAAGGCATTCTTGCTTCCCTCTATAACCTTATGGTTGCTTTCTTAAGGCTCGGTTTTATGCTAGCCCAGCAAAAAATAAGAACTATGAAAGCAGTCTTTCACATCTGTAAAAAAAAAAAAAAAAATCTGTATAAAAGTAGTCTTTCACTTTATGACTGTACCACACACACACACACACACACACACACATATGCTAGCTCCTAGTATGATGCAGTTTCATTGATACACGCTAAAATGGGGTGCTATATATATAGACAGAGATAATCGCTAAGTGTGTACAGTTGAAAGAATGCTTATGGTGTCCAAGGATTAAAAAGTGTGAGAGAAAAGGAGAGTAGAGATGAGGTTTCTTCGAACTAGTTCTCAAACCTGTTGAAATTAAATATCTGGCACTAGAGCCTGGGGCATTCTAATGCAGCCTGTAGAAGCTGGATCTTCGGAACCACTGTCTTAGCTGTACTTTGCTGTCATGTATTTTATTCTGTGCTGTCTAGTACAATATCCACTAACCATCTGTGATGGTTGAGCTCTTGAAATGAGGTAGTGTGCCTGAGGAGCTGAATTTTTAATATTAATTAATTAATTCTTAAGTTGAAATGCAAATAGCCACATGAGACTAATAACTACCATATTAGACAGAGCAGCCTTAACCTATTGTATACTGTCCTTCACTTGGGAATGAAGTTATTTTCAGTGTGCCCTTCCAACAGGCTGTGCCTTTTGTCATTGTGACACAGTGATGCTCCAGAACCTCCTTCTGGGAGAATGAAGGCATCACCAAGCCTTTAGTAGCCACACCCAGTCACATGACCTGCATTTTGTAATATAATTTGCTCAGTGTGGTCTTCAAGCCCTCGCTCAGTGCATGAAATGTTACTTCTCAAAGCCTTTGTCATCTCACAAAACTAAAATTTCATCCTCAGCCCAGGATTTTTGACTCATGTTGTTTGTTTTTTTGTAGTAGTTTCATTTTTAACCAAGGAAATCATTTTTAATCTTCTCCCCTGTTGTTTAAAGGGTGTAAAAGTTCAGCATGGTGAGTTTTTATGGGGCATTTAATGAGAAGCCAAGCATTGTAAACATATCCAAAGGATCACAGTAGTGTAGTTTACCAAATCCTTTTCCTATGCACACTGACCTGACCTCCCTTCAAAATATGAAACAGATGGGCCCAGCTAGAATTCTCCAGCTATTCCAGACATTATTATCAAGGTTTCTCACATTCTAAAACCTGGTGAGATGAGGCTTGCCCTTGAATGGAACCAAGAGTCCCTGACAAGACTGTAAGCTGCATGGAGGCAGGTGCTATGTCTGTCTTGTCCTGGATTCTCTTCTGGCCTTATTGTGGCATCTGCCAGATCCCAGAGGCTGCATGTTGGTGAAGTGAATTACTGTTCTTGCCATAGAGAAAATGGGCTGGCTAAAGGGACATGTAAAGCAGAGAGAAGACAAGATCAGGGAAAGGGCACATTTGGGATCGAAGTGATTTGATTCAGGAGAAAGTACTTGCCCTCCACAACTTTACCTATACCTAGCAGGTAAGAAGAAGAAAGATTGCAGTGACAAATAATGTAGTTCTATCCTGGTGAAAATCATTGAGTACCATGATGGTGATTACTTAGACTAGAGATTAGAATGAGCTCTGAAGAATTGAAATTCAAGCCAGAGAGACTGGTAAAATTTCAGCTTTTAATAATTCAAATGCTCTTGTGCTGCAGCCTATTTATTTGTTTTTCATCTAATGTTACAGTTCTAAGAAACTTAACAAGTTAGACTGCCTGTGGTTGTGCTATATCTGCCCACTTATCAGCATTTTTTGTTTTCTTGAAATTTTAGGCACAGAAAAATGAGAGAGAGTCTATCAGACAGAAGTTGGCACTTGGAAGCTTCTTTGATGATGGCCCAGGAATTTATACCAGCTGTAGCAAAAGTGGGAAGCCAAGCCTTTCTTCCCGGTGAGTGTTCTTTTGAGTTGAATTTCTGATATGTACACAGTGGATTTTGTCACTTGATTATTCTAATAAAAAATGGCTTTTAAATCTTCCATAGTTTTTTTTTTTTTTTCCCCTCGCATAATGGGTTTTAGACCCTTCCCCACTTGTTTGTTCGTTTCTTTGTTGTTATTATTGTTGTTATTGGCTCATTGCCCAGCTACTTGAGGTCAGATTTTTATATTCCATTTTTTTTCTAGACACAATACTGATGTTGTACACTGATAGAGGAATCAAGCCACACTCCTAAGCAAGCTGACTTATGATTAGAGACATGTGGCAGACTACCAAATTTCCCATTAAGCAGTCACAGATCACCCAGAATCACCCCCCTGACACATTTGATTGCAATAAATACTCATAACTGAGAAATGCAATTCCCGCTTTGATCATTCAATGTTTATTACAGTTCTTAACCTGTCCTCCAGGTGGTTTTTCTTTATCTTAATTTATTTCAGGATATTATTGGTCATTTGCATAGCTTCTAATTCCAAGTAAGACATATTTAAATTATAATTTTATCCAAAAAAACAGTGCTATAGGCCAGAGTTTCTCAAACTTTAATGTGCTTATGAATCATCTGGGGATTTTGTTAAAATGAAGACTCTGATTCAGTAGATCTAGGTGAGGCTCAAGATCCTCCATTTCTGTGAAGCCTCAGCTGTGATATTCATGCTGCCATTCCATAGGTTACTTTGATTAGTGAAAGTACAGACAGTCTGCAAAGTTAGGCATTACAAATACGGGTATTCCGAGTGATGAAAGCGCGTAGAACGTTTTTACTAAGATATACTAACTGATGACCTATCGGCATTCTCATGGTCTCCACCTCACTCCTCAAATGTCTGTTTCCTCTCAGTCTTCCTTTGGGCTAAAAGCAAATATACTCTGTTAAAATACTCAGTTATTTTACCATCTTCAGCTAGGCGTTGGAAACAAATTATAGTATTTATGCATCCATTTAACCAACATATTTCTTCCATGTCTTCGTGTGAGGCCTGGAACTAGGCATTTCTAAAATATCTATCTGTATTCCATATGGCTTTCAGTAAGGCTTGTACTACTGTCTTATCCTGAGAGATTCTAAATCAGCAACAATCAGAAAGCAGACACATACTCACATATACACCTATTTGTGAGGCACTGCAGGCAGATCAGTACATCAAGACAAGAACGCCAGTTTCACCAGGCAGTGTTCCAGCATCTCTTCCTCAGCTGGGTGCCAGTTCTGTCTCAGAACATTCCCTTGTATTCCTACATATCCCTCCAGAACTGGATGGTCAGCCCTCCCCTTTCCCTTGGGAGCACCTCTTTCCCCTCCCAGTTAGATGTGGCAGAAGACGCTTTGGCCTAGGAACCTGGAGGTCTGAGGATTAGTCCTAGTACTTTTCTAATTTTGAGACTTTAACAATTTACTTAGTTTTACCATGTCTCATTTTCTTCATTTTTGTGAAATGAGAGCATTGGACCATATCATCTTAACAGATCTCTGCCGCTGCACTCTGATATTTCCCAGAGTGCCAAAATTTCTTCTTTTAGAAGCCCAATCTGTCTGTTCAACAATGTCATATCCCTGTTACAAATGAGAGGTTTTGGTTTTGAAAATCAATGATATACACACACACACACACACACACACACACACATACACCTATGTACATATATATAACCCATATACATGTATATGTACATAGGTATATATGGATGTATACATATGTATATGTGTCTCCGTGTGTGTGTATATATGTATACTCCAGGTATATTTATATTATCCTTGTCCCACTCTCCAGAAGTAATAACTTTTTACTTCTTAACTGTTTCTTCTGGTATTTACCTACATATCTCTAAATAAAATGCTTATCTTCTTAGTTTTTATTTTAACCATCAGACTATCTACTATAAAAAAAACAGTGATTTAGCTTTTTTTATAGCCCTCCCAAAGACTCTCATCTCTTCTATTCTTCCTTTAGAGTAATTTCATAATTTAGAGTCAAATAGCTATTTAATGTTTACATTATTAAGATAATGCATTATTCATCGCTTCTCGGCCTTTTAGCTAAGATCAAGTGTAGATTATGCATTATTCTCACTGAACCATGTAGTAAACTATGGTTACTTGAGAAATTTTATTTTTTTTGTCCTGAAATTAGAATTGCCTGCTTTTTCCCCATGTACTGCATTTGTATTCCAGTGTGTGAATATACCACAATTTATTTGGCCACTCTCCTGATAATGGGCACTGGATTGTTTCAAAGGTTTTGCTCTTGTGAACAATGCTACTTACAAACATTCTTGTACATGTCTTTTGCTGTACATATGCAAGCGTTTCTCTTTGGGGCATACCTAGGGGTGGAATTACTAGGAAAATACATGAATGTTTACACTTAGAATATAATGTCAAACTGTTTTCCAACATGGTTGCAACAAGTCATACTCCTGCCATCAATGTTTCAGAGATCCTGTGGATCCATAACATTGCTAACATTTGATATTGCCAATTTCTTTTAAGTTTTTGTGAATTGAATAGGTATAAAATTATTTTTATTGCGTATATTAGCCATATTTTTTTTCCTCTTCTGTGAAGTATCTGTTTGGGTCCTATGCCAAATTGCTGTTGGATTCCTTATGCTTTTCTCATCGACTTATCGAAGTTCTTCAGTCATGATACTAATGTTTAATACATTGTATGTATTGTATATATCATCTCCCAAGTTGTAACTTGTTTTTCACTTTTTTAATATGTGTTTTATGACCATAAGTTATTAATTTTATGGGTTAATTTTATACTGAATTTTATCAAACTTCTCTAATCAATGGCTTTCTGTATCTTGTGTAAGAAATTTTCTTCTCCCCCAAGATCCAATAGACATTCATTAGACTTCCTACCAAGAGTTGAAAGTGTTGAGTTTTTAAAAGTCTGCAATCAATCAAAAATTGATTTCTTAATATGGGATGAAGAAGTCAAATTTGATCGTTTTCCTTATAGATGACCATTTCTTTATCATATTTATTGAACAATCACTCTTTTACTCACTGATCTTATAGACTACTCCCATGGATACTGCATATTAATGGAAATATATTCTATTTCATTATTGTTTCTATCTCAGCAGCAAAATATAGTCTTAATTACAATAGCTTCAAAATAAGTCCTGATATCTGGACAGGAAAGTTCTTTTTGTTATTCTTTTTCTTCAGAAGTATGCTGCCCGTTATGGCTTTCTTTATTCCTCTACATAAACTTTAAATAATATAATCAAGTTTAATAAAATACTCTCTTGGAATTTTGAATGTAATTGCATTGATTCTATAGACCAATTTAGGAAGCATTACATTTTCACATTGTCTTTCTATCCATGAATATGGTCTATCTCTCCATTTATTTAGATCTTATTAGATATTTCTTAATAAGGTTTTATAATTTCCCATTTAGACATATTACACATCCCTTGTTATATTTATTTCTAGATACTTGCTATTCTGATATCTTAAATTCTCTTCAGTAATGCTTTCTCATTTGCTGCTGGTGAACAGAAATGCAATGAACTTCGTATACTAATGTTATATCCAGCCACTTTGTTATTGCTTCTATTACTTCTCCACTCTCCTATTATTTCTAATAAAGTTGTCTGTAGATTCCCTGGGATTTTTGAACAATGATATCATCTACAAATAATGGCAGCTTTATTTATTCATTTCCAATTCTCATGCTCCTGGTTTCTTTCTTTGTCTTATTGGATTAGGTAGGTACCCTAACACAGTGACGGTTAGAAATAGTAGTAGCTGGAATCCTTAGGTAATTTCTCATATTAAATGAAATGTTTCTACTGTTTTCCCATTTTAGATTATGTTAATTTTATGTTTTCTTTAATGATTCTCTTTATGAGATGATATTCCCTTCCAGTTATAACTTACAAAGAATTTTTATCATGAATGGGTATTTAACTTTATCACATGCTTTTTCTTCATCTGTTGAGGTGAAGAAAAAGTAAAATTTCATTCTGTTAAGCTATTGTATGAATTAATGAATTATATTTATAGATTTTCAAAATATTAAACTGTGCTAGCATACCCAGTCTAAACCTAAACTGGTTAGGGAGTATTATATTTTTTCAGATACTGTTGGAGTATTATATTTTTTCAGATACTAATATTATAAATAAAATCTGAGTAAATAAATTATAAATAAAATTAATATTTTATTTATAACATTTTGTTTAGTATTGTTAGGTTTATATTCATGATTGACATGGATGTATTGTATTCTTTTCTTCTGATATTTTTGTTTGGTTTTAGTATCAGGGTCCTGCTGGCTTAAAAACGGATTGGGAACTATTCTCTTTCATATTGTCTAAGAAAAGTTTACATAATATTTTTATGATCTGTTTCTATAAAGTTTGGTAGGACTCATTTCTCTCTGGGCCTGGTGTTTACTTTGTGTATTTGCTTTAACAACAGCTTCCATTTCTTAAGTGGTTATAATATTATACATACTTTTTATTTCCTCAGATCAGTCTGATGAGTTGTATTTTTCTTGGAATATGTCCATTTTGTTTGTTTTCAAAATTGTTGGCATATTTTCTCATTTCACTAAAAATATTAATTTTAATTAAATTGTTTAAAATGTTTTCTTCTGATCTGTTGTCCATCATGACTTTCTGAGTTTATTTTTTGTTTGTTTTGCTTTCTGCCCACCAATAACTAAGTATAAGACACTAAAAGCTGTTTATAAACTGTGGTTGGCGCTAGTTGGCATCCGTCATCTGCTTAGAGAGCTCTTCCCTGACCACCCTGTTAAAAGTAAACACTCTCATACCCATCACTTTGTCCTGTCTTATCCTGCTTATCTTCTTATCCTGATTTGTTGGTATGTGTGGGGGTGGGAGAGAAGGGGGGTGCTTATTACTACCTGACATTGTAGTGTGTATACTTTGTTCTGTCTTTCTCTAGCTCTAAAATATAAG